TTTTTGTTTTGCGGTACCAGGGATCTAACTCAGGACCTTGCTCTTGCAAGGCAGGCACAGTGCCACTGAACTAAATCCCCTACCCTGTTTTGTTTTTGAGATAAGGCTCACTATGTAGCCCAGACTGTACTGGGATTGCAGTCACAGGCATGCACCATTATACTGGTTTAGCTTTTTCTTTTGTGTGTGTGTGCAGTACTGGGAATTGAACCCAAGGCCTTCACACTGAGTTACAGCCCCATCCCTTTTTATTATTTTGAGACAGGGTCTCATGAAATCACTAAATTATCTGGTCTAGGCTCAAATTTGCAATCCTCCTGCCTCAGCCTCCCAAAACACTGGGATTACATGTGTGCGCCACTATACCCACCTAGCTTTTTATTTATTTACTTTTTTTGGTGTTGGGGATTGAACCCTGGTGCTCTACCCCTAAGCTACATCCACAATTGCTGCTTTTTTCTCCCCAAGACCCCTTCTTTTTTATTTTCAGTTGATATATAATTGTTCGGGTTTTTTTTTTTTTTTTTGATACTGGGAATTGAACTCAGGACCTTGCGCTTGCGAGGCAGGCAGAGGAACCACTGAGCTAAATCCCCAGCCCTAAAATTGTATATATTTACGAGTAGTGTGACATTTCACTCTGTGTACAACATATAATGGTCAGATCAGGGGAATTAGCACTTCCATCACCCCAACACTTACCATTTCCTTGTCCTGGGAGCATTCAGCATCCTCTTTACTAAAGCTATTTTTAAATGTATAACTAATTGTTATCAACTATAGTTACCCTTTTTTGGTTTTTTTGGTACCGGGGATCAAACTGGGGTCCTTGTGCTTGCAAGGCAAGTGGCAGAACCATTGAGCTAAATCCCTGGCCAGTTACCGTTTTTTTTGAGACAGGGTTTTACCATGCAGTTCAGGCTGGCCTTAAAATCACTATGCAGCCCAGTTTTCCTTGAACTTGTGTCATCTTCCCACCTCAGCCTCCTGAGGGCTGGGATTACAAGTATGTGCCACCACACCCTGCCTATACTTTAGCACATTAGAAATATACTTCATATCCAACTGCATCCCACTTAATCAGTTTCTCTCTCGTCAACACCACTCTATGCAGTGGCCAACAGTCCTTTGTGGTTTGGGCCCTGTCACTCATTCTCAGTTGCTTAGGAGCACTGGCAGGTCTGGCAGGTGGCCTGAACCCCAGTCTTTGAAGGATTAAAAACACAAGAGGAGCTGGGTGTGGGGTACATGCCTGTAATCCCAGCTACTCTGGAGGCTGAGGCAGGAAGATGGCTAGTTTGAGGCCAGCCTGGGCAAAGCAGTGACACCTGGTCTCAAAATCAAAATAAAAGCTGGGCATAGTAGTGCACACCTGTAATCCCAGCATTCAAGGGGCTGAGGCAGGAGGATCACTGTGGCCTACATAGTAAGACCATATCTGAAAACACACACACACACACACACACACACACACATAAAATAAAAATAAAAAGGGCTGAGGATGTAGCTCAGTGGTAGAGTGCCCTGGGTTCAGTCCCAACTACCATATACAACCCCCAAGATGAGGTCGGTTGGTGGTGCATACCTGTAATCTCAGCTACTCCAGAAGCTGAGGGAGGAGGATCACAAGTTCAAGGCCATCCTCAGAAATTTATGGAGACTGTCTCAAAAACTAAAAAGACTGAGGGTGTAGCTCAATTCCAGGCCTTGGGTTCAATCCCCAGTTAGGGGATGGGGGAAGTTCTCACACACACAAATAGATCGCATTGTATTACCCTTTGTTCTGAAAATTCTTTTTTTTTACCTAACAATAGATTTTGGCCACCTGTTCTAATGGATCCCTGAGGGTGGGGAGTCTTCCTTGTTCTTTGTGAGGACTTCCTGGAGTTCCAGGGTTATTTAACCAGCACCCTCCTGCTGTGCAGGTCTGTCCTCTCTTTGCCCTTGCTGTGCATTAAAGTTCAGTTTGCAATCGGCTGATCCCACTTCCCTCTTTTCCAGGTTCTGTGGGGCATCGTGCAGCGGCCTCAGAACACAGCCCAACCAGTGATCTCCCATCCAAAAAAATAAAAATATGTGCCCCCCATTCGCCTTCACTGATGCCCTATTTTGCTTCTTTTCATGCCAGAACTCTTTATTTTACCCAAATAAAAATAGTCTGTCTTTTTAGATTCTAAAAATGGAACCCTTTCAATGGGGCCCATGCTCGAGTGATACAGAGAAAATACAAAGGAAGTAAAAATCACTTTTGATTCTCGGATGTCACAGTTGGCCAGTACACACACACACACACACACACACACACACACACACAGCCAAGGGCAACTTACATCCCCAGCCCTTTTTATTTTTTATTTTGAGATAGAGTCTCACTAAGTCATTAAATTGCACAGGCTTAACTCCAACTTGTCATCTTTCTGCCTCAGTCTCCCTAGTACCTCCTGATTTGCCATTCTGTGGCCACCTTCTCTTATTTTTTTTTTGGTACTGAGGATTGAACCCAGAGACTTTGCACTGAGCTACATCTCAGGTTGGAACTTTTGATGCCCCTGCCTCAACTTCCCAGAGGGCTGGGATTACAGGTGTGTTACTTGGTCTTCTTCCTTCTTGTCCTTTTCCTTCAAATCTAAGCACTCTAAAATTCGGTACTGACTGTCATCCCCCAGCTCACATCTGTTCCTTAGCTCCAGTTGCCCATATTCCCTGAATGGCACCAAAATCTATCCTGACCTTGCTCAGCCTTCTCATACTCATAGCCTGCCACACCCTGACCCATTTTCTCCTTCCTCACCCCCTTCATCTGCCATCTACCCTGACTATGCAGAATTTCTTTCTTTTTTTTTTTTTTGGTACTGGGGATCAAACTCAGGACCTTGTGCTTGCAAGGCAGGCGCCAGAACCACTGAGCTAAATCCCCGGCCCCATGCAGAATTTTTTTAAAAGCAAAACCTTTATTGGTACATTTTAGATATACATAATGATAACAGTCATCATAGGGAATTTGTACCTGTACATGATTTTTTTCCCATTTCTACCCTCAACTCCTCTTTCCCTCCTTATTTACAAAAGCTTTGTTTCCATTTTTTTCTTCTATTCTATTTTTCTCCTGTCCCGTCTTTCCTTTTCCCCTCTCCCCTCCTTTGTTCCCCTTCTCATTTGAACATTTTTTTCCCCATTTCTCAATATCTATTATACATTTTGGTCCTTATTTCCACTTTTGGTTTCTCACACCAGAGAAGCAATGTGGTATTTAAACATGTGTGTCTGGTTTATCTCACTTAAGAGTATGGTCTCAAGGTGTATCCACTTAGCTGGAAATGTCTCAAGCTTATCCTTTATGCAAAGTAGTACTCCATTGTATATAAAAAAAATCTTCTTTATTCATTCATTGATTTATGGGCATTTGGGCTGTTCCCAGGACTTAGCTACTACAAACTATGCCACTATAAGCATGGGTGTGCATATACTGCTGTGGTATGATGCTTTTAATTCTTTCTTTTTTCTTTTCGGTAATGGGGATCAAACTCGGGTCCTTACGCTTGTGCAGCAGGCAGTGAAACCACTGAGCTAAATCCTCGACCCGATGCGTTTAATTCTTTCAGGAAGATATCAAGAAGGAGAATAGCTGGGTCAAATGGAACCTCTAGTTTTAGGGGGTTTTTTTGATACCGGGCATTTAACTTGGGACCTTGTACTTGTGAGGCAGGTGGCAGAACCACTGAGCTAAATCCCTGGCCCTCATTTTACTTTTTTGAGGTATTTCCACACTGATTTCCACAGTGGTCATGCAGAATTTTTCACATCTCTCTTTTTTTATATTGGTTTTCCTGTACTTCATCTGGCAAACTCCTCTAGGTGCTTCAAAACCCAACTCACTTTCCTGATGATTTCTTCCTGATCACCTCTGCCATTTAGGTAGACCTTTCTGTCTGTGTTTATCACAGAATTTCTCTTCTTTTTTCTTTCTTTTTGCTTGTTTGAGACAAGATTTCACTAATGTAGTTCAGGCTGGCCTTGAAATTGCTATGTAGCCCATGCTGGCCTCAAACTAGTGATCATCCTCCCTCAACTTCCTAAGTGCTGGAATTACAAGCATGTTCCACCATGCCCAGCTCCAAATTAAAAAAAAGCTCTTTGGATTTTTGAGCCAGAGTCTCCTTTTGTAGTTCAGGCTGGCCGGCAACTCTCAGTGATCCTCCTGCCTCATCCTCCAGAGTGCTGGAATTACAGGCATGTGCCACCACTCCCAGCTAAAATGTTTTTATACAATAAAATTAAAAACAAAATGAGCTACTAATTAAGACATCAATGAGAAAATAGGCTGAAGAATACTGGATATGAGTTATAACCTAATAATACAGTGAATGTTTAGATTTAGAAAACTTTATTACAGTAAAAGACACATTTGTCATTAATTCTTGTCAAAATAACTTCACTTCAAACATCATTCTTGCCACTTACCCCATCGTTCTTAACACATCGTTCTTGCCACTTTATGAAGCAGTCCTAGAAGTGCTTTTTTGTGTCTTTAGTTGCTCTGTCGTGTCTATGTCCTGAATTAATTCAAAATATATTTTCTTTTCATGGTCACTTTGACTTTGGGGAAGAGCCAGAAGTCACACGGTGCCAGATCCGGTGAATAAAGTAGATGAGGACACACTGTGCTGTTTTCACAAGCCTGCCTTTCTCTTGGATGGCACTCAGCAGCAGCATTACCGTTTTGATAACACCTGGTAATGACACGAAAAAGAGTTTCTAGAACAGCTTCAGAAAGTAGCAAGAACGATGGGATAAGTGTGTTAGAAGGGGAGTTTTGAGGGGAATTCATGGCAATGTATCTTTTAGTGTAAGAAACTTTTTAAAAAATAGACATTCACCATATATTTCGATCATCCCTGGTACACCTGAGTAAGTGTGCCTATGATCAGCCTCGCCGGGACCTCGCCCCGCCCCCACCGGAACTACAGTTCCCAGAAGGCCCCGCGGCCAGGGCATGCGCAGCATAGTGCTCGGAAGCTGCGACGCTGAGTTTCACTCCGGCTGCGACTCCCGCTTGGAGTGGGAGTCCCAGCCGGAGCTTTACTCAGGCCGGATCAGAGCTGCAGACCGAGCGCGGCGGTACCCTCAGCCTGTTACCTCGGCCTCCTTGGTCTCGGTGAGAGGGGTCAGGCCACCTGTTCGTCGCCAGGGCTTGAGTCCTGAGGCAAGGGTAGCGAGGGGACGCCAAACCGAGCTGGGACCGGAAAGGGGCGAGGGAGAGAGGGAGGGCTGGGCCGGGCGGGAGGGAGGGCAGCCCTGGGGTCCCGGGGAATGGGGAGGACTGGCCCGAGGTCCTGAGGTTGTAAGTCGGCGGGGGGAGCACCAGGGGCTGCGGACAAGACAGGGTGCTGTCGGAGTGGGAGCCTCGGGGAGGGGGCTGATGGAGTCGCCTGGGGAGGGGGACCTCTGAGAGTTTGGGTCTCACAGGACCTGGGTTGTCAGGATATTGTCACCGTGCTCCCTGGCTAGGGTGCGGGTTCCGCTCCGCTCGGCGTCCAGGTGGAGGACTCACCGGGCCAGGGGATGTACTTTAGAAGAGTTTGCCTCCCAACTCTGCTTCTCTCCTCTCAAATGGGGTCCGCCTTGCCGGAAGCTGCTATCGTCTGAGGTCCTGGGTCATTTGGAGGGGTACGTAATGCCGAAGAGGATTTTTATTCGTCTTTCTGAGCCAGCTGCCGACCTCTCCAGCGTTGGCTTCACTTCCCTACGTGCCACAAGCGTTGGAAATAAGATGTGTACAGAGGCGTGGACTTTTAAGAAACTCAAAATATTTCTGAATGCCATCCTCGTGCCTCAACAATTTTAGAAAGTAGATTTTCTGGCAGCCAGGATCAGGACTGGCTTAAGCTGACTAGGTAACTAGGCCTTTTTGTTCATTTGCTGTGTGACCTTGGCCAAATTTTTACCCTGTCTGGTGTATTGATTTCCAGGATTCCTACGCTGCAGTCTGGCCTCTGAAGTCCTGTTAGGCCTTTCTGGGAAAGGCTCCGATTGTTTTATGCACCCCCTTGATTGTTGAGTGGCCTGAGAAAGACTATCATACCTTCTGCTCTGCCCAGGGTGTTGGAAAATAAATCTGGTAATTTCCAGTCCCCAGCCACAGCACACAGATCCAACATCTGTGCACTCGTTTTCACTCACTGCTTGCTGTTTTTCAATTTAAAACCTGATCATCTTCTCGTTGGCAAAGGTGCGTTGGGATTTGTGTCGCTGAGTCAGCAAAGCAAGCCCTTCAGATTTGCCCAGTTTTTGTTGTTTGCTTTTCATATCAAGATGGGAACTTAAACAAGTTATTCCTCCCAAGGATCTGGTGTCTGCATCGGAAGGGATGGTTTGTTGCCAGCTTTCTGGAGAGACAAGGTGAGAGCCACAGGGAGTTTATCTTGCTGCCTTCTCAGTCTGGCTTTCAATAGGGAAGGTAGGCTCTCGGGAGGATGGCATCCGAGGACTCCAGGATGAAAGTGAGCCCTGGGAGTTGATTGTTGATTGCCAGCTGTGGCAAATAAATTCTAGTGGCTTCTCGCCAACAGCTTCTCCTGTCTAACCAGTTTTAGAGGATGCTTCTCACTTTAAGACATGCTTAATGGGACGGAGGACCTAAGTCACGATTTCTGCATTTGAACTGGAAATTCCCTTTCTTTGGTTGCACAGACATCTACTACTGGGTGCCAGACAAAATCTCCATCTTCTGGGAACTTGTGGTTGTGGAAAGACAGATGCATCACAGTCAGTGACAAGGTGTTGTCAGTGCTATGTGTGTGGAGCTGGGGGAATCACAGGACAAAGTCTTCCTCTTTTGGGAGGAGGTAGCAGAGCTATCGAGGGCCAGTGTCGTAGTGTAATCCCGGCACTTGGGAGGCTGAAGCAGGAGGATCACTCTGAGTTTGAGGCCTAGTACTGCAAAAACAAACAAAAAAACAGAGAGAGAGAGAAAGCTTGGCAGAGGAACATTTGCAAAGTCATGAAGCTATTGGGACAGGGCTGGACCACTGTAAGTAGCTCTGGCTAGAGCAGCAAGAGTGGGTGTGGGGGAGAGGCGCCTGGAATGGTGGGCAGAAGACAGAGTGGAGGGTTTAGGGGGCCACACCCAGTGGTGTGGCTTGTCTCCCAGTGCTGTGGCTCATATGCTGGAAGCTTGGTCCCCACTGTGATGGTAGTGAGGTGTGGAACCTTTAAAAGATTAGGCTCGGTGGTGTACAGTTGGAATTCTAGCTACTTAGGAGGCCTAGGCAGCAGAATTTCAAGCTCAAGGCCAGCAGAGGCAATTTAGCAAGACTGAATTTTTTTTTTTTTTTCTGGTACCAGGGATTGAGCTTGCGCAGCAGGCAGTGAAACCACTGAGCTAAATCCCTGGCCCAAGACTGAAAATTTTAAAAAGGCTAAGTAAATAGCTCAGTGTTCCCTGGGTTCAATCCCTAGTACTGTATTGAAAAGAGAGGAAGGGGGCTGGAGATTTAGCTCAGTGGTTCCACCGCCTGCCTTGCAAGCATAAGGACCCGAGTTTGATCCCTGGTACCCCCCCCCCCCAAAAAAAAGAGAGGGCAGGAGGGAGGGAGCTGTGGAGCCTAATGGAAGATAATTAGGTCACAGGCCTCTACTCTGATGAAGGGATTAATACTGGTCTGTGGAGTGGGTTAGGTCTCCCAAGAGTGAATTAGTTCTCCAGAGAGCTGGTTGATATAAAGGGAGGTCACCCCACATGGTTGGCCACTTTGCTGTCATGTGATGATACCTCAGGGCCTTGGTGCCATGTTCTTTGGACCCTCTGGCCATCAGAATCATTAGCCAAATAAGTCTCTTTACTTTATAAATTTCCCAGCATCAGGTGTTCTGGTATAGCAACCCAAAACAGATAACAAGGGTCTGGGGAGCAGGAGGATTTTAGCAGAATTCCATAAAGGGCATCTTAAAGGAGCTCGATGGCTGGCAAGTGGAATGGATTAGATTGGTTTATTCTGTGATATCTGTGCCATGCCAGCTTCTGGTAGCGGAGGGGTTGATGAGAGCTTTTGCCCTCAATTGTTCTAGTCTAGGTGAGGAGAAAAACAGCTGGTCACATGGCACATGCCTAGAATCCAGTTGCTTGGCAGGTGGAGGAAGGAGGATGGGGAGTTCGAGGCCAGCCTGAGCAGTTTAGCAAGATCCTACCTCAAAATAAAATTTAAAATAAGGTTGGGGGTGTAGAACAGTAGTAGACCTTATGCTCATCTAGCATGTACAAGGTCCTAGGTTCAGATCTCAGTACCACCAAAAACAAAACAAAACAAAAGAAAATGGACATAGAGAGCTATGAAGGACAGACAGAATGCTGTGGAAGTTAAGAGGAATTTTCTTTCTTTTGGTCCCATCAAGGGATAGAGGTGATATTTAAATTAGGCCTGGGCACAGGCTGGGACTGTAGCTCAGTGGTAGAGCACTTACCCACCCTTGTACTTGAGGAAGCGCAGTCTTGCACCTGTGTCTGAGAGGGACTAGGAGAGATGGGAGTTGGAGCCATCTGGGAGGGAGTGTGCATTAACATAAGGGGTATGGAGGTCCCAACCAGATGCTCCGAGGCTTGAGATGCAGAGGAGAGGAGCGAGCAGGCCCTGGCAGCTGCGGGGCTGTGGGCAGAAAGGTTGAGGAGGAGCAGGAATCTCTGGGTTTTTTTCCTGGCTGCCTAAGATACAGTAGAGCCAGGAAATCCAAGGGGAGATGGAGAATTGGAAGGAAAATTAGTTTGGCTTCAGACAATTTGAAGGTACTTAAGAGGCCAGCAGGAAATGAGGCCATGGGTTGGGGAGAAAAGGTGTTCATTCCACAGATGCCCAGTGAAGCTCTGTATGCCAGGGCTGGAGTTTGGCACTTGAAGAATAAAGGTGTATTAAACCATCTCATTAGTGTTTGTTTTATCAGGTAAACCGAGAACTAGATTAATACACATACATTAGTGTTTACACCTGGCCTGCTTTTCTTTAGTCTGTTCTTTTATTTTTTGGTACCAGGGATCGAACTCCGGACCTTGTGCTTGTGAGGCAGGCGGAGGAACCACTGAGCTAAATCCCTGGCCCCCTAGTCTGTTCTTTTTAATGAATATGTAGGCCTTGGCAGTTCAGCCACCCAGAATAAAAGCTAGGGTCTTGAAACAAAATTGTACATCTGATCACTTCCTTTGAGCTTCCTTTCTATTCTCATCAACCATTTTCCCCTTGCTTTCATTTTTATATAGTTGTATATATACATCTGGGTATTTATAAGAAAGTAAAAAATATCGGTAGGTTTTATACATATTATTTCATGTTATCCAGTTCATTTGTTTCTGCCACTGAATAATAGTCCATGGTAGGAACCCCATTTGATCATCCCCTGATGGGCTATTAGTTATTTCTGGGTTTTTGTTACTTCAGTCATCCTGCCCTGAACATTCCCATGTGTGTCTCTTCTCATACACAGGCAGAAATATAAACTTAGGGGTGACATTTTGCTGGGTTCTAGAGTAAACAGGTGCTCGGTTCTGATAGGCACAGCTGTGCTGTTTGGTGCAGAGCTTGTACCACTTTCCACTTCACATGCACACCGACATGTGTTGTTGGCAGACTTCTGTTTTGGCCAATTGAATGGATGTAAATTGGGATCAAGGACCTTGATTTCTAGGTCCCTGAATTGTGTTGAACATTTGTGTGTTTCCTGTGAAATATTTGTTCTTGTTTTTTGAAATATTTGTTCATTGTCAGTTTTTCTGTGGGCTTCTTGGTGCTTTTTTTAAAAAATGAATTTGCAGGAACTGTCTTTATACTGTGGATTTTAGTCCTTCATGTATAATGCATATATCTTCTCCCAGCTTGTAAGTTTTTTCCAACCACATGTGGTTTGTTGACCAACCATTCTTGGTTGTTGTTTTTTTTTAATCTTTTTGATACAGGGTCTCATTGTGTCACTATGTACTTCAGACTGGCCTTAATCTCACTATGTAGCCCAAGCTGGCCTTGAACTCTTGGCAATCCTCCTGCATCAGCCTCCTGAGTGCTGGGATTACAGGCTTACACCACCTCATCCAGTTGATCAACTATTCCTTTTTTTGTTGTTGTTACTGGGGATTGAACCCACAACCTTGTGCTTATGAGGCAGGCGTGGTGCCACTGAGCTAGATCCCGGCCCCAATTTAAAAGTTTATATTCAGTGTTCTGTGTCTTATTTGAATGGTTATTTTCTAAACATAGTCTTTGCCTTTAAGGAACTTGACTTTTGGTGAAGGGGACAGATAGCTATTTTGCACACAGATGTCACATGAGCTTTAATTGGTTAGAAGTGTCAACTTCTCCCTGCATGACAGGAGTGAGTACAGGAAAGATTTCACAGGGCAGCTAGGCGCAAGCTGGGAAGGAAGAGATGAGAAAGTGGCCTCATGGGATGGACATTCTCAGTGGGGTGTGAAAGGCCTGAAACCTCTGGGCCAAGTCTCCTACCACCAGGAGGTCCAAATGAGTTTGAGGGGTGAGTCAGGGCCTGGTGAAGATATAGATGTGGGTGATCTGTGTGGGGTCTTACTGAGGGTCCAGGGGGAGTGGAGAGAAGGGAGAGAGGTAGAACAGGGCCGGAGTGCCTGAGGAAGAGCAAGTTACCAACGCTTGATGTGGCTCTGCCAGCCCTTGGGGCCCCTGGGGGTGGGCCCTGCTGGCCAGCCATCTGCCCTGCCACTGGCCCCCAGCTTTCCTCCTTAGGTATTGGATAAAAGTCGACCTGTCTTCAGAGGCCAGGCTGTGTCACCGGCAAGGGTCGTCAGGAGCCCACTTACCAACAGACACAGGTTCAGAGGAGGATTGCACAACCTCAGGAGAGTGGGAGCCCAGTGTTAGATGTCGGGGAGACAGCGTGGGGGTCTGCAAGTCATGGCCCATGGGCCATATTCCACCCTTGTTTTTCTTCATAAAGATTTACTGGAATGCAACTACTTCTGTTGGTATATATATATATATATTTTTTTAAAAATATATATTTTATATATGTATGTATTTTTTGGTACCAGGGATCAAACTCGGGACCTTGTGCTTGTGAGGCAGGCGCTGGAACCACTGAGCTAAATCCCTGGCCCGGTTTATATATCTTTTGCCATGCAGTGGCAGAATTGAGTAGTTGCTTTTTGGTCCTTTACAGGAAAGGTTTGCTGGCCCCACCCCACTGTACCCCAATAGGCAGTAGTGGGATCTGTGGTAACCCAGAGAGTGGGTCCCAGCCACACTGTGGGACAGCCAGCCTGAGGTTGCCAGGTGAGTAGTGGGACTAGATCAGCCTACGAATGTTGCCATCTTTGGTTTTCTAGAGAAGCTGGAAATCTGGATTTTTTTCTTTTAACTAGTTAATATTCCAGTATTTAAATGCTG